GATGAAACAAAATGACGGCCATAAGATTCGTTCATTCAAAAACCACCTTTAAAATGTTTGAATATTAACAATGACTTTTTCATAGTATTAGCTGAGCTACACTAAACCTTGTTGTACTCATAAAGCCACCTAGATCGCCATATACGTGTTTATATCATGAATAAAAATTTCAGAATTTAAACTAATTTTCATTTAAGTAAGTAAGTGATTTTTCCAGACAAGCGTACAGAAGAAATGAAGAACCTTATCGCTCTAACTCATTCACAGAACTCTTCCGTTTGTGGTCACAAGTATTCCTTTCTTTTACCGAAAAAGATACTTATATATATATATATATAACGGACGATGCGCTACTTTTAGCATATAATTAGATTCGAGGGTAGGTTGGTAGAGATCCTGATGACTAATAAAATCGAATCGGCTATACGCGCAACTCACAACAATATAGCTAATAAAAAGGAAACACACAAGTATAATAAAAAATATTAAATTTTATAAAGACAAGTAGGAATCGATATATACGTAACTTAGCTAGCTATAGTAATATAGAAAACACGAAAGTCAAAACTACAAAAACTGGGTTACTTAACATTAAAAATTGTTTTTATCCCTACTTTGGCAGATCACTGTAATAATGTTATTCTGAGCCAAAGTAGGGATAATGTCTTTTAAATTTTAAGTAGCTCAGTTTTGTGTTTTTGACTTTCGTGTTTTAATACTTTTTTATAGCATTAAATTTTTTTATATTACTATAACTAGCTAGGTTACGTTCATATCAACCCCTACTTGTCTTTGTAAAATTTAATATATTTTTATTATACTTGTAAAGTTGACAATGTGGAAAGCTCGACAAGGCTTGTCCGTAATTAAACATTTCTTACTAAAGCTTATGAATTTCAGTGTACTTCTGGTGAAATTCTGTTTATGTAGAACAAGTGTTTTTTTTTCAAGATACAAGTTTTTTTTTTTTCAAGATATCGTTTTAAATATGGGATTACTCTTTATAATTAGCCAGTAATTCCTCGATCGTGTTCACTCTGGTGACCATAATTACGCATTATTACTCCACTTATCGCAATTTCTATTATAACACAGCAATCTTCGGAAAAGTGAGGTTGGGTCAGCCTTAGACCATACACCGTGACAAAGTTTCCAGAAATTCTCCACTGTACAATGAAAATCTGCTACCAAGGTCGCGTTTAAGGCATAAAAATGGGATGCAGCTATATTGAGGGACTGGTCGAAAGATACTGCTGTAGCTGCAATTTCTTTAATCCTCTTTTTCGTCATGTTAAATAGGTGTGACTGGATTTTGTAATCCTTTAGACTGTAAGCCTTCATCAGTTTCAAATCCTTGATATCAGTACAAGGTGTTGTTTGGTTTGATTTGCTTTGAATTTCGTTCAAAGTATATGAGGGTTATTTGCGATAACCGTCCCTAATTTAGCAGTGAAAAACTAGAGGGAAGGTAACTCGTAATCACCACCCACCCTTTTACCAACGAATAGTGGGATTGACAGTCACATTATAAGGCCTCCACGGCTGAAAGAGCGAGCATGTTTGGTGGAACGGGGATTCGAATCCGCGATCTTCAGATTGCGAGTCGAGCGCCCTAACCACATGACCATTTCGTTATTTGGGTGGGTATTGTTTCTTGGAAAGGATATTTTTCTTAATTTTAATATAAAAATCTGCAGCACATATATATATTTTTTATTTTTATAAAGTGAGTTGAACCCTCTGTATTCTAGTTTTGTAGAAAAAACTACAGATTGTCAAATTATGTTTATTTAAACAAAACTTTTGTTGTTGTGTTAGTGCAAAGGTGCACAATGGGATATCTGCGCTCTATCTAGCGCGGGAAATCGAACCACAGATTTCAGCATTGCAAGTGAGTAAACTTAACACTGACCAGCTGGGGAATGAAACATAAATTAATCTGCATTTAGACGAATTGGATTAAAGTTAGTAGACAGACGATTTCACGAACTTAAAGGTAGATAAATATTTGCAATTAAAGATCAGAAGTTTAACAACAATGATTGAGATTATAAATATATCTATAAACTATCATTATCAAGTAGTTTACAACCAAAAAGTGGCAAATATCCAATATGGTCAGGACAATAACATCTGAATCTAATTCCAAAAATCTATATTTTATTAGTTAAGTGCACATTTCATCTATAATGTTACGGCTGCTTCTGTGCGTTTTGCACGAGTTATGCACTGCGGAAAGACAGGCCTAGAATATGTACTTACTGCCAGAGTTCTTCAACTGTTCGAAACGTGGTAAAACACAGACAAGTGACAACTCGTTTTTTAGTCAATCATGGTACGCATTAGGAAGGTTTGGACACACTATCAGGCATCTGGTTATTGAAGGTCAATTATATGATATTATGACTGCTATCCAAACAACATAGCTGGTAAAAATCCTTAATCCACACAAATGGAATAATTTTTTTAATGGATCTTAGGACGACCACAAGAGTAATTATTAATCATAAAATTGCAAAGAACAGACTTCAGGAGATTGGCCCAAAGTCGAGAATATCTGCTTCATCCCTGCAGTTGACCACTCAGCGCGTTTATATTTTTGTGATATTTATAAATTTCAGCAACACCACTGAGTACCTGTATTTCATACAAATAGTTAAGTCTGAGAAAAACGATATGATAATTGCAGTTTTGCTGAATATAACAATTTTGGTGATGGTTCAGTTATGGTATGAAGAGGTATTAGTATCATTACTTACACAGATTTTCACAATTCTCTCAAAGGGCGTATTTCTGGCTCAACGACTTATTTACTTAGTGCTTCTTCAAACAGTTTGGCCTATCAAAAGTATCTGCAACCAAATCAGATTTTGTCCTCATGCAGAAGGATGTCCGATGTCATATTTCCATGGTTGAGATGGGCTATATTCAACATAAAATCGTAAATTTAACTAAATGGACAGCAAAAAGTTAACATCCAAGTCTCATAGAACACTTGTGAGACATTCTTGGACACACTGTACTTCAATGCTTCAATTCACCATGTAACGCCAGAATGTTTGACATTGTACTATGGACAGAATACTCCAAATGATCAGAAGTATGTCTTGGAACATAAAGACTATATTTAAGTTCAATGCTGTTCGTGGTCCACGTGTTGTTCATAAAACATACTGTAATTTACGTTTTGTTGTTTATTTGGTTGAAGAACGATATATCCATAAACAAAATGTGTTGTTAGTGATTTGGAGTACTACAATGTAAATACAATCGATGTTCCTTCTCTATACATTAAATTGAATTTACTAAAGAAAGCCAGTTAGTATGACTATGAAGTAACATGTAGCACCAGGAAAAAGCTAATGCCATTATGAAATATATACATCGCCAAAAAACAGCTAGTGCCACAAGAGAATAGTGTTTATTTCCAAGGAACGACACACTACGATGAAATGTAACATGCAAGAGAATATCAGCCACGAGCATATACATTCGAGGAACTCCAGTAATACTAGAAAGTAGCAGTTACTACCAGGAATATCCAGTGGTATAGAAAACAGTGTTCACCATCAGGAGATATCTGGTGGTATAGAAAGCAGTATTGATCATCAGGAGATCTACAGTAGTATACAAAGCAGTATTCCCCAACAAGAGAGCTCCAATGGTATAAAAAATAGTAAAACCACCAATCCAGTGATAAAGAAAGCAACACTCACCAACAGAAGATTTCCAGTGGTATAGAAAGTAGTATTTAGCACCAGAAGATCTCCAGTGGTATAAAAAGTAGTACAAACATCAGGAGATCTCCAATGGTATAGAAAACAGTATTACCACCAGGAAAGTTCCATTGGTATAGAAAGTATTCTGCATCACCAGAAGAATTCTACGAACGGAGAGATAGTGACACCAGAAAGTTGCATTTAATATCTTAGTAAATCCAGTAAGCAAAGAAGTAGCATGCGCCAAGGCCTAACTGGCATAGCAGTTAAGGGCGCTTGAATCGCTCTGTGGGTCGGGAAATCGAAACCAATCTCCGAACATGCTCACAATTTCAGCCTTGGGAGGTTATAATGTGACATGCAATCCCACTATTCGATGGTTAAAAGTAGTCCAAGAGTAAGCAATGGGTGTTGTTGACTAGATGCTTTCCATCTTGTCTATCATTTAAAAATTAGGGACGGCAAATGCAAACAGATCTCGAGTGGCCTTACGCGAAAGTAAAAATAAACAACAACTTAAAAACACCCAGAAGTAAATACATCGTAGGGAGATACAACACCATTAGAAAATATATGTACATTGACAGGGAACAGCTAGTGCCATCGGGTTAGAACTAGCATGAGCAATAAGTTCAACATTTTCAACCATATCCAACTAACTAGATATATATATATCTATATATATAAAAGAGGAAGTTTGTTTATTTGTTTATTTTGTTCACTATAGGAAACCTAACGGTTTAAATAGTGCTAAGTGATTTAGTAACTTTGTGAATTGCAAATTACTGTTT